CTCTCATGCGATACTTTACTCACATGCAATCTCGTGCAACAATGTACTCATACTCATATGCAATCTCGTGCAATACTATAAACATACTCATATTCAATCTCGTGCAACAATATACTCATACTCATATGCAATCTCGTGCAATACTATAAACATACTCATATGCAATATCGTTCAACAATATACCCATACTCATATGCAATCTCGTGCAATACTATAAACATACTCATATGCAATCTCGTGCAATAATATATATATATATATATATATATATATATATATATATATATATATTATTGCACGAGATTGCATATGAGTATGTTTATAGTATTGCACGAGATTGCATATGAGTATGGGTATATTGTTGAACGATATTGCATATGAGTATGTTTATAGTATTGCACGAGATTGCATATGAGTATGAGTATATTGTTGCACGAGATTGAATATGAGTATGTTTATAGTATTGCACGAGATTGCATATGAGTATGGGTATATTGTTGAACGATATTGCATATGAGTATGTTTATAGTATTGCACGAGATTGCATATGAGTATGAGTATATTGTTGCACGAGATTGCATATGAGTATGAGTATATTGTTGCACGAGATTGCATATATATATATATATATATATATATATATATATATATATATATATATATATATATATATATATATATATATATATATATATATATATATATATATATATATATAGGGTTGAGTTCAAATGAGGACAACAATATATAGAGGACTGTGAGGACAAATAATGGGCACACAACAAACTAATACCAGGCACACAACTTAATACATAATGGCACACAAGAATAAATGTAAACATCAAGTTTCGAACTCATGCTATATAAATTAACAAAACTAGCACGCGACATACAAAATGTGGCACGCGACTTCATTCGGCCATGCACACAACATACCGGTTAATGGCACACACTACATTTGTCCTCACAGTCCTCTATAATATACTTGTCCTCATTTGAATACACACACACACACACACACACATATATATATATATATATATATATATATATATATATATATATATATATATATATATATATATATATACTCATACACTCTTTATAAAATAGAGTACCTTCTGTGGAGGTCTCTTTCTTACTTTCTTGAGTCTCTCTTGACTCACTTTCTTTCTCTTGAGTCCTTCTTGACTCACTTTCTTTCTCTTGAGTCTCTTTTGACTCGCTTTCTTTCTCTTGAGTCTCTTTTGACTCTCTTTCTTTCTCTTGAGTCTCTTTTGACTCTCTTCTTTCTTTTACTCGTAGACGGCTTAGGTTTCACCGATGCGTGAATTACCCCATCGGGAACGGCATAAATCCGACCCAATATCTCCTACCGCCTACGGAACCAATCTCTTGGTTCTATCACTGTGGAATCAGGTATCGAACTATTAGTGTACACACCCCCTAACCAGGATTCCAAGCCTGGCGTGCAGTTTCCAACCTCGTAACGTGGGAATACGCCGTGTTACATATACTGGGACCGCAATGTCCATAAATATCTTCCGAGAGGACATAGTCCAAACGGTATCCTCCAAAACCTCACCGATATAGATAAAACATAAATATATCTCTCATGCATCAATCTCATGCATGCAAAAACTCTACTACTTCTCAATGCATCAAAGAATGATATACCACATGCTTATGGTTTTTGAAAGTATTCTTGGGCTCACGTTGGCCCCTTATGCATTTTTGAAATATGACACATGCGAAATGTCAAAATTCTCTATAACATGCTTCTAAACCATGTATAAAATAACATGAAGTACTCAAGAATATAATATCATGCTCGGTTTGCAACATAGCAAATTCTATACATTTCACTCAACAAATGTGCTTCTATTCTCATTGATCAAATAACACAATCAAGTCATGTTTTCATAATAAATCATATTCTCAAATGATCATGCTTCTTTACTCAATAAAAACATCAACAGATCACCTAGTCAAATAATTCTTCTTACACAGTAAACTAGCAAATATATACTCTGTGTAGCAAATCTTCAATAAAACCTTCATAACATACTCATTTTTTATCCAAATTCAACGAAATCAAAGCCAAAACGTGCGCTGAGACGATCCCGAAGAGCCGAGCCACAAGGGCCCATAACAATTGGCCCGAAATGACACGTAGCTGAGCCACAAGGGCCCGTCCACTACACAAAATTTCATCAGAACAATACTCAGGGACCTGGGGCGGGACTCCTCATGGTCCGCCCCATGAGCCCCGCTACTCCATCGGGTCTAGGCGGCGACCCTCCTCTAGGGCCGTGCCCTAGACTCGTGTGACCACGGCTTTAGCCGGTGGCCCTCCTCTAGGGCCGCGGCTAGGGTCGTTGGTCTGATCTGGTGTACACTGTATGTGCACCAGAAGGCTTTCTCATCTGCAAAACTCAATCCAAACAAGTCCAAAACATTCTCAACAACTCATAAACAATTACTAGATCACTTCTAAGCATAAACACAACAAAATCTCATAGTTTTTACTCAATACTAAGGCTTCACAGAGCCAAATTTAAGAAGGAATCCATGGGGTTATACCTCTTGTTGCATCTTCTTCTTGTTCTTCTTCCTTGTGTGAACCTTAGCTTCCATTCTACTCAACACCAAACCAAACACCATCTAGACACCACTAACAACAACACAAGCCAAACCTAACCAAACTCAGAGATTGAAGCAAAGGAAGATGAAAACCTTAAAGGAAAATGAATGGGTGAGATTGGCCTAGGAACACTTACTGTGTTTTCCTTTGGTTTCTTGCTGAGCTGCTAGGTAGGGAAGATCAGGAAATTAAGGATGGAAGAGGTGAGTTTTATAGGATCCAAAACCCTAGAAGATCTTCTTATGATTGGTTGATTAGAGGAACAATCTTATTGGCTCTCAATTAAAGCATCGGACAAAGGTGGAGGCTAGTGGTTCACCATACTCCATGGTCCAAAGGCTAGAAATGTGACTAGAATCTTGGTACGCGAAATCTTGGTACGCTCACTCAGATACGCGAAATCTTGGTACACGAAATCTCACCGGTCTCACTCAGATAAATTTCTCGATTTAAATCTTGGTACGCGAAGTACCCAAAAATTTAGGAAATTTCGAATAGAATAAATTTTGGTGTCAAATTAATTTAAAATGTGACTAAAATAATTTATTCAAACACCAATTGATCACAAAAATTTTTAATGGAGTGAAAATGACTATTTTAGAATTTCTTAAAATTGAATTTATAAAATAAAATTTTGGGTTGTTACACTCTATCCCCCTTAAAAGAAGTTTCGTCCCGAAACTTAGAAGGAACGGATCGATTTTCTCAAAACGGAAGCTTTCGAAAAGATCGTAAGAATCTCAAGAATTGGCTTAGAAGTTTCTCTTGGAATACTAAGAAGAAATGAAATTTCTGAGTTCCAAACAAGCACCGAAGCAACTAATGCGCTAAACTTAATCTAACTGCTAGAATTCACTAACTCAAAGTTTCTTTGTTACTTCTCTTATTCTTATCGTTATTACCACTTCTTTGGTCTCCACATTTGAACTTCTATGTTTTCTCTCATGAAAACTGAGAGTGTTTCACAAACACTTTTCTTTCTTATTACTTCCATCGTGTCCCAGATCACATTCCGTGAATCGAAAGGGAAAGCCTACTCATCTATCAGCTCATCTCGTAGATCGGTGCGGTTTTACGTAGTGTCACGTTGAGGTACTGCAGAAAAAAAACGGCAAAATCCGATCTAATTTATCGTAATCGATTAGTTAACATGTTGGTTAACCGTATTCTGGAACACGGAAAAAAAATCATTAGCTTATCAAATTATCTGAGGGGAGGCTTTCATTCAATCGAGGTACTCGTATGGGTACTCTAGTTGATTGAAGATTGCATCATCGAGGTACTTGAAGCTACAATGTGATTCTTTCAAGTCTTTGAGTATTCGAGACTAAGGGTTTCTCGTGAGGTCTAAGGTACTTTGATCCATCTCTATCCTTGCATTGAGAGTAATCTTGGGACAATACTGCATCTTATTTGAACCTTGGACGAGGTTCATATCACAACCTCTTTTATTTTCTTTGCAGGAACAGCAAGAGTCACCTGAGTATTTGTCTTAGTGCCTTGGGTTTGTCCTCCATGTTCCTCCTAAGTTGTGGGTTGGGATCCAAATTCAATGATGCTCTCCATTTATAATGATGTGCATCAGTTTTAAACAATTCATTATTTGAGTAAAGACAATATACTTCCACATAATATATTCATGCAACTTAACATTTTTAACACAAAATCGCAAAATCAGAACATATTTTCATCAATTGTTGTGATCAACATTTCATATGGTCATATTATCCTACAATAACCACTTATAAGCTTCCACAGTATATACTTACAAGCATTTTAAGCACAGAATCACAAAATCAAAAGATATTTTCATCATTTTTGTGTTCAACAATTCATACGGCCATATTATCCAACAATAACAACTTATTAGCTTCCACAGTATATATTTACATGCATTTTAAGCATAGAATCACAAAATCAGAAGATATTTTCATCATTTTTGTGATCAATAATTCATATGACCATATTATTCAACAATAATCACTTATAAGCTTTCACAATATATATTTACATGCATTTCAAGCACAAAATCACAAAATTAGAAGATATTTTCATAATTTTTGTGATTAACAATTCATATGGCCATATTATCCAACAATAACCACTTATAAGCAGGGACGGAGCCAGGAATTTTTCTCAGGGGGGCGAAGAAGTAAAGGCAACATAAATTTAAAAATGTTCAAATACAAGGTTCAAATACAAAATATCTAATACGAATATAATTGTCAACATATAAAATACATTATAAATTACAATACAAAGTTTATGATGAAGTACGGGATAATACTCCTCTACGCTCTCTCATCTTTTGAAATCGTTGTAGAATTGCTTCATTTGAAACTTGATCAAAAACATC